ATTTTTGCATATGTGGCCAATGTTTTCATCTGTAGTAAGATCTCAGGGTTATGCTTATTCCCCAATGGAGGCATGACATAATCTTTTCTGCCTTTACTTATCATTCACCAAGGAGCTGTTCCCTCTGCATCTAGGTCATCATCATACTGCCAAGGCTGGTTATGACTCAGAAGATGTTATCTGAAAAAAGTCTACAGAAAAAAAAAGGTTTCCCCCTCCCTCATCAACAAAAGCCCACCCTCTAAGAGACATTTAAAACTGAACTATCGTAATTCTGTTACAAATACACAAATTTAAAATACAATGCACAAAATTTTAAAGCATACCTTTACATCATGTACTGCCAGTCACACAAAGGAAAATTTTTCCTAAGCTAGGAAAAAAATTTGCTTCCACACAACTGAAAATGGAATCTTACTTGATAATATAAAAGCTACCATCAGAAGAAATCCCTTCAGGGTCATTAAGCCACTTCCTTTGCTCTGAAGTTCCTACAGTAGTATTAAGTTATATTAAACCACCTGAAAAAAATTCCAAAAGAGAACCACACACTACCATCTGTATCCAAAATGTAGGTTTTAAAAATTTTCCCAAGACCGCCAACTATTCAGTATCATTTCAGGAGGCCAGACCAACCCCAGTCCAACAATTTCCTTCCCCAAGCCTCATGTATATAAATGTATACATACTTTGGGGGGAAGACAACCTTGTTAATTGTTTATCTTCCTTGCCCAAATTAATGCACTGGTACCCCCAGCGCTATCTCCCCAGCTGCCCAACTCAGACTAGAAGAAACAAAGAACTAGGATTGGGAGTTACTTGCCAACTTGAATGTTGAGATTTCCTTAGTTTTTCCATCCTAAGTATTTTAACTTCTCTGGAATGAATTATCTGAAATCATAAACTAAACAATTACCTAACCCCCCCCATCCCAACCACAACAAGCTGTCAACTAATTGCCAAAAATTGCCCCTCCCCTTTTGGTACTGTAAACCGTTATTTGAAAACTTAACTTCAACATTTGGCCTAGCCAAGCTCTTCTGAAGTTCTCCTGAGTTGACTGAGTATGAACCAAAGCTGTACTGTGCTGTACTTTTCAGCTTCAACTGGGAAAACTCTTCCAAGGATAAAAGCAGCTCCAATCCCTGCAGATGTTCGTGCCAACAGCATAGCGGTACTCGCCTTCTCTAACTCAGTCTGTCAATAGCACTATAGTATCTGTGGAAAATCTTAAAAAAAACACATTTCCTCCCCCCGCCCCCTCTTCCCTGTTAAAACCATCCCCAAATACAGTTCAGGCGTTAAAGTGCTTTAAAAAGTCTGATTAAGGGGTTTAAAAAAGAGTAAAACTACCAGCCATTTCTCCAATGGACAGCTCCTCCAGACTGAAAGTGAGCGCTACTGGTGCTCTAGTCTCTAGAAACTGTAAACCTGCGGTTTTCTGATTATCCTGATACTGGATTTTCTTTTCTGTTACCTTGAGTCATTTGCCTTTAGGATTCTAGACAGACCTAAGGGGAAAAGAACTCAAAATACATTTTGTCCCATCCCCACCACAGAAAAAAATTTCCCCCGTTACAACACCCAGACTCCATGTTTACAGAACTATTAATTCAGGGCGAGGAAAAAAAACAAGTCACAAAACTGAAACTTTATTTAACTCCAACTAAACACGACTCCTTACAGATTTACTTCAAAATTTGTCTGCTGGCTCTATAAAATTAAAATTTTCCTTCAAATAGGTTTTTAAAAAACTTGCCATCTACCATTCCTCCGTGCCTTGGCAGTCTGCCCTCAAATGCTTCAGACAAGATGCATGACAGAACTTTAAGCCTGAAAAAGAAAAACCTACAACACCCGGAAATCGGCCTACACCCATGTAAAACACTTTACAAAGGACACAACTCCCCCAAAACCATTAGGAAAGTAAAAAGTTACCATACACAAGTTACAGGAAAGGACCACACAGCCGACCGGGTTTTTACCACACCACTCGCTTGCTCTCCCTGCAGCTCTGCACACAGGCATGCTGGTCTAGGAAGCCGCTATCTATCCACAGCGCCTGCTCGCCGCCTCCGAGGTAGATGACAAGCCAAGCTGCTAGCTTCACAAAACCGCACTCGCTTCGCCTTCGACTCCTCTCCTAGCTTCACCACCAAAACATTAGGGGGCACCTTCACCAAATCGCACTGCTTCCCGGACTCCTTCCTATCTTCACCACGAACTGCTGGCTCCTCCGTCCTAGCTTCACCAACACTGGTTCCTGGAATCCTGTCTGCTGCTCCTGTCTTCCTAGATTCACTGAATCCACTTCTGTGTAGCACCTGGGTTAGCTGCCATTTATTACTAGTCCTCAGGGTTTTAAGGATTAGCACAAAGTCCAATGCAAAGTTTAATTCTTGATCTCGAATTCAAAGTCCTTTAAATTTTTCAGTGAACTAAGCTACTGGATTTAAAGCCTTTAATTCTTTCAACTCTTTCAAAAGCATTCTGCCTCAGGTTTTGAATTACTTCAGTCCTTCTATAGCTCCTTTCTCATGTAGACTTAACTGGATCTATCATCTTCAAATAATCTTCACAACTGGCTCTAGTCTAAACATCCTCACTTTTGGCATTTGAAACTTATGCACCACCATTAAGTTAAAAATAAGCTTTTTAAAAAACTACCAATTAATTGTATTTTATCTCATATTTCTGGCTTCAATTTATCTTTTCTCGTCCAGTTGTTTTAGGTCATTGCATTTTCTATCTGAAATACCTTTCCTTGACCAAAATTTCATCTTGTTTCTATCTTCTACTTTTCTTCTAGGTTTGTATTATTTTGCCCTTTTGTTGCTCCAATACCTTTCCTTCACAGTATTTTCATCTTCTAAGTTTCTTCTGCCTATGTTGTAGCTTAAATTAACACTTCTTCCAAAGGCATACATTTATCTTCTAGTTTTCCTATCTTCTCTAGGTCTTCACCTTCAACTTGTCCTCGAGTTTTTCAAATTTCTAATCTTTCTTCAAATTTAACCTACCATTCCCAACTGATACTTATTTTCGATATTTATAAAATACTCCACCACGAAATCTTTCCTGCGTCATGGTCCTCTAGCCACCTTCCATTTAAACTTCCTTAAACCACCGCCTTCGAATTTTAATTACCTACAACTTTACTTTTAAAAAACGTTTTGGCCGGGGATTTAGCTCAGTGGTTTCGCTGCCTGCTGCGCAAGCTCAAGGACCTGAGTTCGATCCCCGGTACCAAAAAAAGAAAAAGAAAAACGATAAAAACGTTTAGATTGCTTAGTCATGTTTAACAATCTACACGGCTACCTTTCACTAAAGGCTAAATCAAAAGGCTTCAAAGGTTTAATATAGAGGCTTAACCTTTTTTTTTAATCCAAGCACAAGCTTCACCTCAATCATCACGTTCATGTTTTCTCAAACTACTTTGTCTTCCTATTTATTTTTAAAAGCCATTAAAGCCACTTTAAAAACTTAATTTTAAGTGCTATGTCTTCGTTAAGCTAATAACTACTTAAATTCTCTAATTACAGCAATCTTTTTAAGTAAAAACTTATCTGCGTTTCCTCAAGCTCTGCCTCATAAGCCTCCTCGGCGCTCGCTGCCTGAAAGCCTGCAGCAGGGGCTGAGAGAGCCGTATTTATGCATGAATGACGGCGTACATCGCTAGAATTAAATAACCCTCCGCCGCCTTTGTGAGGAAGAAAAATAGTTCCCCGGAAGAGGTAAAAATAGATTCGAAATTATACAATTCTCTAGATTGTTCTGAACAGTTTATGGTATTTGAATACAAAGTAATACCCAGAAATACCCCGGACTCACTAACAAGTGAGTATAAACTGAAACAACAATCAAGGGATGGAAACCATATTTAAATAGGTTACCAAACCGTTTACAACTCGGAGCCAATATTGGGCATTTTAAAAATAGCTCTTGAAGTACCTTTTGTGTTTTCGTGAAGTACACTAGGTACTAGTTGCCGTTATTTGAAGGAAGACTAAGATGTGTTTGTTGTCTTTAATTTCTCATTTCGTAACCGGGCGTCTGCCTCGCAGATATCCGCTGCAGACAGTCGACAATAAAATTGTGGGTTTCTCCCCACCGCCCTCGACCCTGATATTCGCCCGAGATTACGCCACACACATTATTTTATTCTAGAAACCGGGTCAGCACACGAGGCGATCTGCTTGTGAGGTCACTGAGTGCGAACACCCACTTCTGAACTGGCCTCACGAACGCCCTCGGGGCCTCTGGAATCGGGGGCGGCTCGGCCATTTTACACGTTTTATGTTCTCAGTCACTCAATACTAGCTTGACCCCACAGCTCTCTGTTTCTTGCAAACATGAACGATCGGAAGGGTCCAGCCCCTCACTTAAAGTGAGCAAAAGCCAAACCACCACGGAAACCCAAGTTGAAGTACCCTAAAAGTGTCACGAAAAACATCTGCCTTGGCCTCCAGGGACACAGCGACCTTGGGCAGCCAGGCCGCGAAGGCCTCAAGACCTAAACTATTGCTGACGCGACTGCTTCTCTAGGGACTTACAGATCCTGTGTCACCTCTGGTTTCTCCCTGACCTTAACTCTTTTTACATCACAGTTGGGGGCAAAAGAAAAGCTTTTCCGTGAATCTCAAGGCAATTTCTTTCCACACGGTTTGAATACTTTATCTTTTAAACAACTCCCCCCAGAATTACATCCAGGGGATCAAGGAGACACTGATTTGCCAGTAGCGGGGGGGGGACGGCCGCGCAGGGAGCAGTAAATAGCGTGAGGCTGAAGCGCCGCACCAAGCGGCTTCCAGAACTCTCGGCCGCGGACCTGGGAACCGGGGAAGGGGAAGCACGGCGACAGCGGCGGCCATTTCCGGGAGAACTCAGAGGCGCGGGCCGCGGGCACAATGGGTGGAGGAGGGGCGCGGCTCCAAAAGGCGCGCCGCGCAGGGATACGCAAGTCGTGAGCCGTCTCCTCCCTGTGTGGAGTGCCGGCTCGCGGGCGGACGCCACCGGCTCTAACCGGATTCAGCCGGTCTTGGCTGCCTTCCTGGAGCGGAGGCATTTGCCGCAGCGCCTCAGTGCGCAGGCGCACCCCGCCCCCAACGCCTGTCCTGTTCGAGATAGTGGCGTGGGGGCTGGGTGACAATCGGGAGGTGGCTGAGGGGCTGCAGAGTTGCCCTCTTCTGCCAAGCCACAGTTCTTGGGGCTTCGTCTTTCTTCCGCGGAGATTCTGCTTTCAAGTCTTTTCAGCCTAGGTTTTCCTTCTCTCCTGTTGTTTTACTGTCTCAGTCACTCATTAGTTAAAGATTAACATGAGCCCCTCGTAATGCTACATGCTGTGTCTCTGGGGAAGCACACAGTGGGTGTTTCTGTGTTACTGGCTCTTAGAATTCTCTCCCTATGGGAGTCTCAAGCTGACCTAGCAGCTACTTCATATTTTGTTTTTTGTTTTTGCAGTCCTGCGGATTGAACCCAGAGCTTTTACATTGAGCTGCATTCTCTGCCCTTTTCATTTTCTGAGACAGGGTCTTGCTAAATTGCCCAGGTTGGGCTCTAATTGAACTTCCTCCTGCCTCAGCCTACAAGAGTGCTGGCAGGCCTGGGCTACCAGGCCCAGCTGCCTGTTTGGTTTTTGTTTTTGTGTTTGTTTTTAAAAACACAAAGCTGTAGGGCTGGGGATTTAGCTCAGTGGTTCCGCCGCCTGCCTCGCAAGCGCAAGGACCCAAGTTCAATTCCCGGTACCAAAAAACAAATAAAACACAAAGCTGTGAAGCATAATGAAATTCCCCAAGCCACACAGAGGTCTGAAGCCTGGGGCCAAGGGCCAGGTGTAGACACCCACCCTCTTCCCCTACCTCATCCCAGAGTTTTAGTCTAGAATTTGTAAACTGGCCTGTTTTTAGGCAGTATTGTCCAAGAGAGAAAAATGACACTGAAGGTTAGGATAGCCACTAAATAATGACATAGAATTGTATATGAAGTTTATCCTCTTTTTTTTGGTACTAGGGATCAAACTCAGGACCTTGTGCTTTTGAGGCAGGCCCAGCACCACTGAGCTAAATACCCAGCCTTTTTTTTTTCCTATCCTCTCATTTTTAAAACACCTTTGGCTCCTGTCAATGACAGTGGTTTTTCTGGGCATGGTGGCACACGCCTGTAGTCCCAGCACTTGGGAAGCTGAGGCAGGAGGATTGCTGAGAGTTCAAGGCCAGCCTGGGCAACATATGTGAACTCATGGCCAGCCTGAACTACATAGCAAGACCCTGTCTCAATAATAAAAAAAAAAAATACAGTCATTGTGAAGGGCTGGGGACTCTTACCAAGTCCGTACTGGTTCCCCTGTTGACCCCATCCTTCACCTCCCATCCTCCAATAAAATGAGGCCAGTTTAAGCAGCTCTTCTCCCCTGACCCTGACAAAGCTGTTATTTTCTCTTCCTTCGTTTTTGAAAAGTCCTTCAGAGTGGAATATTACTGAGTTGCCAGTGATTCCCTTCAGATAGTCGTGATGTTTGCTCTGGAGCTGGAAATTTTTTAGTAGAATTTTACCTCTGGGAGGAGAAAAACTGAGTCGGGTTACCTCAATTTACAAATGGGGACTTGGGGCTGAGATTTAGTTCAGTGGTTCTGCCGGCTTCCTCGAAAGTGCAAGGTCCTGAGTTCAATCGCCCGGTACCAAAACAAAAACAAAAATAAATGGGGACTTGGGAGGCTGGGGAGTCACAGTGAATTAGCAGAATGTGTTCTAGAGTCCCTTGCTTCTCCCTTTTGCTGCTGGCTTCCTCCCCCAGGCCTGACTGCCTCCTGAGCTGCAGTTTTTCAAGCACTGAGGGAGGCTGTAAGGTAGTGGTGGGGAACCTGTGACACTCATGCCCAGTGGGCTGTTTGTTATTTTTGAAAGCTCTAAAAGTTTCCCCATCATTGCCTTAGGGACTGCTCTGGAGCCCAAGTAGTGAACTTTACAAATCCCAGAGGGCCCAGTGGCCTTGGTGACACACACCTGTGATCCCAACACTGGCAAGGCTGAGGCAGGAGGATTGCTGTGAGTTGGAGGCCAGCGTAGGCTATGTAGTGAGTTCAAAACCAGCCTGAACTATGTAGCAAGTAGCAAGAATCTGTCTCAAAACAAAACAACCAAAACTATATATATGATAATTTAATATTATAATAATTTAAATAAAAAGAATCACAAAGTGCACAAAATAATTGTCAGTTTTTCTCCAGTCATCAGTAAGTGAAAAATACATTTTTAGAGAACAGTATGGATACTAACCCCTGCTTGTACTGTTTAGGCCCAAATTTTACTGCCTTCATCTACTGTTTGCTTCACAAAACAGACTTAGGCTGTGTCCAGAATATTCTGATCCCAGCCTTCTCTTCATCTGCATCCAGCCCATGAGGTGCAGGTTGAGCCACAGGCTGGAAATGACTCCAGTGAGTCTCTTCTTGTCTGGATTTCTTTAAACAAGGCCAGCCTGGCCTGGGGAAGTGGCTCAGCGGTACAACACTTGCTTAGCACATGTGAGGCCCTGGGTTCCATCCCTAGCAAAACAGAAATAAAAGTTTAAAAGGCTAAAATTACCATGTGTTAGGGCCAGGGATTTAGCTCAGTGGTTCCACCGCCTGTCTCGAAAGGGAAGGACCCAAGTTCGATCCCCAGTACCAAAAATAAAAATAAAATAAAATAAAATTACCATGTGCTTTGGGTAGGAGATTTACTGATTATGTGTAGGTTTGATTATGTGGTCTTCCTTCTTTCAATTTATTTTATTTTATTTTTCTTTTGAGGCAGTATCTTACTATGTAGGTCAGGATGGCCTGGAACTCCACATCCTCCTGCCTCAGCCTCCTGGGAGTCCTGGGATTGCAGGTATGCACCACAATGCCCCGCTTTTCTCAACTCTTAGAACTAAGGATCCTTTAGGTCACAGGAATTTTTTCTTTGGTTAGCATCCATGTTCCATTTAACCTCAGAATGTCTGATTACAGCTGCTTGCTCTATTGGTCCTTTAATATCCTTCTTATTCCCTTCTGTCAAACCTAGTCTTCATTTGGCCTGGGGACACTCATTTAAGAGGAAGTCCATTTAGCCAGTCACATCATGCACCCTCAAAACAGCGCAGACTCAAAACAGGAGGCCCTCGCTTCCTGTTCCAGCAATCACTCCCTTGACAAACACCCGAGTGACCTTGGGTGGAACCTAATAACTTCTCGGGTCATTACTTAATGTGTAAAAAAGAGGATGAGATGAAAGAGGCTGGGATAGACGATGGTAATTTTATAAAATGACAGTAAACAAAGGGGTGGGAAGAGAACAGAGAATGTGGAAGATTTTCAGTTTCCTGGCTGTGGCTTCAGGGTATGGCACAGAGAAGCACTGAACCAGCAAAACTTTGGACCAGGCCTCTGTGCAAGTCCCTGACAGAACATGCCAGGGCTGTGCAGCCCACGGCCCTGCAGTCGCCCCAGGGCCCAGAGGCCATCTGGGTGAGTCAAGGGAATCCTGCCAGGCCTCCATGATTCCAGCCCATCCTGTGATTTTTCTCTAAAAGAAAAGGGAGTTAAAGAAAACAACTTTCTTGTTTCCCAGAGCAGAATTTGCAGTTCCCAGCCCCCTCCCTGGCTGCCCACCTTCTCAGAGCTGATTTCAGGAAGGACACAGGCCTGTGAAGCTTCTGTGTAGACTCAGACTCCTCCCACTGCAAGAAAAACCCTCAGAGATGACGTGAGGCTGCTCAGGACTTTGGCAAGCAGTAGAGAGGGCATTTTTTTTCCTAGGGGATTTTGGATGCTAAAAGTGTATCTTGGAGAAAGTGTAAAATCAATCACTGGGACCCATCAGGCACACCCACCACCATGCAGATTGCTAAGGCCAAGTCCAGCAACACCAGGCACAGAGGCTGGAAGCAGCTGTGTCCTTGCTCTTCTCCAAAATGAGGTGGGGACAAGGCAGCCCCAGCCTCTCTCTCACAGGCATTGAAGTCACCAGGACAGAAGAGAAGGGCAACAGATTCTCCACTTGGTTCACTAAGGAACCATCTTCTCCTCTGCAGTTCTTGAAAGGGTTCCATGAAGGCTAGAATGCTCTTTTGGGGAGGAGGGGGAGCAAAGGATTCCTCCTCTGAAAAGGGCCATCCCCCCCCCCCCCCCCGCCAGCCCTCACCACCCCATCTGAGTCCCAGCTTCTGGTCCCCTTCTGCAGTTTGTTAGCTGCACGTCTTTGGCCCTAGTCCCCAAAGCCTACTGTGGATCTTTCCAGAAGGGCTGGCTGAGGGAGCCCAGCTGTAGCATTGAGGGATGTGGGAGAATGATGAGCAATGAGGAGTAGAACAGTGTTTTCCAGAAGGGCTGCTTTGGCCCATCATTCCACAGATGAAAAACTTCACAAGGGCCTAGCACTGTGGGACACACCAGTGAGCCCAGCCCTGGGGAGGCTAAGACAGGAGGATTGCAAGTTTAAGGCTAGCTTGGACAATTTAGCAAGAACTCATCTCAATGTTAAAAACAAACTAGGCAGGGAGGTACACACCTGTGATCTCAGCACTTGGGAGGCTGAGGCAGAAGAATTGCAAACTCAAGTCCATCCTGGGCAATTTAGCAAGACTCTGTCTCAAAATAAGAAGGGGGGGCAGGGTGTATAGCTCAGTGGGAGAGCAACCCTGGGTTCAATCCCTAGTACCACACACACACACACACACACACACACACACACACACAGAGCAAGGCTGCTTTGTCTCCATCCCCATGTTTCTAGTTTTTCTTTCTTTTTTGTGGTACTGGGATTGAACCCAGGGCCTTCACATTTGAACTACATACTCAGGCCTTTTATTTTTTATTTGAGACAGAATCTCACTAAGTTGCTGAATTGCCCAGGCTAGGCACCAATTCCAAATCCTCCTGTCTCAGTCTCCCAAGTGCTGGGATTACAGGGATGTGCCACCATTGTTTCTAGTTCCTATGTTCCTTCCCCAGGTGCCCTGTCTGTCTGTTCTCTCTCCTCAAGCAGCTGCACGTGGCTGGAGACTTGCTAACTGACCTGCTTTCTTCCCGCTAGGCTGAACCGCCACTGGCTTCCTGTGGTCCCCCTACTGCGCACTATGAGGCTGCATAAGCAAGTTTGTCCTGTGCCCGGCTCCATTCCTGTACAGGTGTTGAACACTGTGGTAGCTCTTCCATCCCTTATAACAATGAGGGGCAGGTCCTGCTGTTACTTCTTCAGACAGACAAGGAAACTGAGACAGAGGCTGAGGCTGAGAGGCATTAATGCCTGGCACACATTAGGGGGCTCAGGAAATGTCTAGAGAAATGACTAAATAAGTACACTGGACTTGTATTTCTTCTGTTATTTAAACACATACAGAGCCAGGTGTAGTGGGGCTCACCCATAAGACCAGCACTGTGAAAAAAAATAAAAACAGACCAGCACTGTGGCAGCTGGGGCAGTAGGATTACAAGTTTGAGTCCAGAATGGACTATATAGTGAGACTGTCTCAAAAAAAAAAAAAAAAAAAGAGCAAAGTAAAAATCAGGAGGCTGAGGAAAGAGGATTGCCTCGAGTTCGAGGCCAGCCTGAGCCACATAGTGAGTTCAACATAACAAGCCCCTGTCTCAAAAAACAAAAATAGAGCCTGGTGTGATGGCACCCAACTGTGATCTCAGGACTAAGGAGGCTGAGGCAGGAGGATTGTAATGAGTTTGAGCCCAGCCTGGGCTACACAGTGAGTTCGAGGCCAGCCTGAACTACATAGCAAGACCCTGTCACAAAAAAACAAACAAATAAATAAAACCACAGTGGGCACATGGTTGCATGTGTGTGTGGTCCCACCTACTCTGTGGAGGCTCGATCAGGAAGATCACAGCAGTCCAAGAGTTTGAGACCAGCCTGGCAATGTAGCAAGACTCTGTCTCAAAAAAAATTTTTTTTAAATTACAAATCAGGGGCCGGCTATTTAGCTCAGTGTTTTCGTTGCCTGCTTTGCAAGCGCAAGGACCCAAGTTTGAACCCTGGTACCAAAAAAGCCCCCCAAAACAAATAAATTACAAATCAGTAAAAAACACACACATACAACCAAAAAAATGAAAAGCACAAGGGTGGTAGATGCCCAGGTCATGCAGTGTGCCTAGTAATGCCACATGGGAGGGGACTATAAGAGGACAATGGTTCCCTGTCCTGAAGTGCCCAGCCCAGAGACACTTGTGAAAAGTAAGTTCAGTTGAGTACATCCCCATGCAGGTTTTCAGCAGTTTGCTCAGTTGCCAGGTGTTGGAGGGTGTGGTGAGGAAGAACACAGAATTTAGAGACAATTTATGTGCTTGCCTGGGAACAGCACAGATGGAGAGTGACAGAGACATGGCTGCCATCAGACTGGGATGAAATGACACTGAGCTGTACCTCATAGGATTCTGGGAACTGTGTACCTCTCCAAAGAACCTCTGGGCAGACTATGACCCACAGAGTTTGGGCGGGTCCTCATATGACTCCAGGTGCCCTCTTACCCCCAAAAGTGGAGAGACAGAGCCTGACTTAGTCCTGGCTGCCATTCTTCCAGGGTGAGTCACTGTGGAGGCTGAGTCCTAGGCCGGGAGGCTGAGTGATCCTTCTAGAACAGCCTGAAAGACCAGTGAGTCTTCTGGGTGGGTCACATGCACATTCTCATACTTCAAAGGTGTTCGGTCACTGCCTGAGGCTCCTGGTGAATGTTTGGGTTGGCCCAGCATGTCCAGCATGATGCTTATTAAACATTGTATGCCTTCTGCATACACACGTGCACACTCACACATAGGCAAGTTCCTCCTTCCTCTGTGCAGCCGTGGCCCACATGCCACAGAAGCAAGTCTGTGGGAGCCGGTGGCACATTCCTATACCAGCACTCAGGAGGCTGAAGCAGCAGGGTCACCTCAAGGGCTACAGAGTGCGTTCAAGGCCAGCCTGAACTACACAGCAAGACACTGTCTCAAAAAAACAACAAAAAAAGGCCGGGTATTTAGCTCAGTGGCACCACGCCTGCCTGGCAAGTGTCCTGAGTTGGATCCCTGGTACCAAAAACAAAACAAAACAAAAAACATAGATCCCAGGTACCAAAAAAAACCTTATGGAATTAATATGAGAAAAGGAAAAAATGGAAACAAAGTCTTTGTAAATGGGGGGGGGGGTTGAAGGGAGGGCAAGGGAATGGGAAAAAAATAACAACCAAGATAGATTATGTAAAGGTACATATTTCCAATGATGGATATCATTATATTGTATACCTAAAATGTACCATAAAATTAATTTTTTTGGGGGGGTACCGGGGATCGAACTCGGGTCCTTGCACTTGCGCAGCAGGCAATGAAACCACTGAGCTAAATCCCCAGCCCCCATAAAATTAATTTTAAAAACCCAACAAAAACAAAAAAGCAACCGAATATGTAAGGTGGCCGAGCTGGGAGATGCGGAGGGGAGGGTACTTGGGTTCATTGTCACAGTCCAGGTCAGAGGGTGTGGAGGTCTAGACTAGGGGATGATGGCTCCCCTACAGGCTCTCTTCTTTCTGTCCTTCAGCACCTGGCCCCTGCTGGACTCATGTTCTTTTACTCTCCCTGACCAACTTCAGGGAATGGTCTACCCAGTGCCACAGGTGGCACAGTCATTCGCGTCACCTGCCCTGCACCTCTCCTTAGAAAGGATCTGTGAGCCGCCTCTCCAGCTGTCCCTTAACATCACCCACACTCATTCTCTGCCCCAGCATGGCCTGTGTTTTCAGGATGCTTATGTGTTTGTTAACAGGGTTCCTTCAGTCCCCTGAGGGCCAAAAGGGAGCCTCTCATTTGCAGGGAGAGGACAGGTGCCCCTCTGGGGCCTCCACGCAGTGACAGGGAAGTGGATTGTGCCAGTGAGGCAGAAGGACAGCCCCACTGTCACCTGTGGCCATGGCAGGGACACCATAGGCATGTCACTGGGCCTGTTGGTACCCAACTCTATCGCCCTGGGCCCTGTGACAGGAACTCATTCCAGCCCAGCACTCCCAGCGACTGCTGCTGCTCGGAGAGCTCCTGGGAGATGGGGCTGCTCCTGTGTCTTCCCAACCTCTTTCCCCAAAGAAGCCACTTCTACTTGGAAGTTTCTAGACATAGATATAAAATACTCTCCCCAAGAAATCAGAGCACACAGATCAGTTCTGGCTGCTTGAGTGGTTGTAGTGAGAACTGTTCTCTGAACCCTCGCCAAAGTGACTCCATCTTTTGATGCCTAAACTCCGGGTGCTGAGGCTGTGCCAGACTGCAGCACGAGGCCACCCACCACTGGGGCAAGACAGTGTTTGCTGAGACCATCAGAGTTCCCACTAAGGATGGGATGGGAGGGGAGCAGCCATAACTTCTCCCAAAGAGACCTCTTGCTTTTGACCCCGCTTTTGCTATTTTAATTAGAACTGTGTAAAACCAGCAGTTTAGCAAAGTGGGTGTTGGTGACCTTGGGTGCTGCAGCCCACAAGTCATCCACTGTTTTGTGAGTGACCCCTAATACACTCATCTACTTGTCAAGCTGGACTTTTCGGAGTCATTCTTTGGACTGTTGGTCCCCCTCAGTTCGGAAGCGGATGTTTCTTTTGCATCTCTCCAGGAAAATCATGCATCAGCATCACACTCACAGCATTTAGGTGCCCCCAGCCTCAGTCCATCCCCACCCACTGTGTTGTGCTGTGCTCTGGGAAGGCCACCCATGCCTCAGGCACACTGAGTTCTGGAGGACGCTGTCATCCTCCCCCTCTGCCGGCCTCTCCATCCTGCAGCCTACACAGGCTGGGGAGAAGGTGGAGCTGAGAACTGAGCACTGGGAAAGAAGCTGGGTGGAAATTTCCGTGACTATTCTGCATAGGCAGACTTCAGCTGAGGCCCAGGTGTCAACAATGACCCCAGATGGGGAGATAGCCTAGGATGAAAAATGTCACCCTTCCTCACTCGCCCCCATCTTCACTCTCTGCCCAGCCCTGAAGCAGGGCCATGTGCCCCTCCCCCAGTTAAACCTCCACTCCTGCTCCCTGCTGGGGCCCTAGTTACCCTGGAGCTCCAGCCAGGTGCCTCTCTCCCAAAACACTGCCATTCTCCCTGACAATGGGAGCCCCCAGCCTCCCAATGTTAGGGACCAAGCTGGGACCCCATCCCCCCTCCTGGAAGCTTTCCCCCAGTCAGGCCATCCAGCCACTTCACCCCTGATGGTGCCTTTCAGTTGATGACTCATCCGTTGTTATCTTGAGCTATGCCACATGGTTTTTATTGTGTTTTGTCATTGCCACTTAATAACCTTGAAAACAGAGTCCATGTCTTCTTATAGTCCTGCCTCAGGACACAGCCCTACTTGAGTTTATGTGTCATCCACAAGTCTGTTGGGCGTGGCCTAGGCCCCGCCGGGGACTCAAAGTCACTGTAGGTTCTAGGCAGTGGTCCCTGGTGGATTCTCCCAGCCCAGGCTAGCAGGAACCAGACAGGAGTGCTTGTAGCTTTGCCCTCTCCACTGCCTTCAGCCAGATTCCCAGTGTGGCCAGCTCTATGGGCTAAATGTTCAACCGGATCCATCAGCCCTCAGCTCGGCCTGGCTACTAGGGTGTCCTGGAGCTGCTAGGGGCTTCCTCCCATTCTTCCACTCACCCAGTGTGTCGCGGCTCATCCCATCATGGGCACGACAGAGGCCTGCATGGCAAGGTGGTCCCAGCCTGCTTCTCCTTACTGCATGTACTCAGGGAACTTGGCAATTCCTTTATCCTAAAGCAGTTTATTCCTCAGTGAAATGGGAATGAGCTGTGAGGTGGTCAGGAGCAGAGTACAGAGCCTGGCTCAAAGTGACACACCCTGTAGGAGGTGCTGTCCCTTCCGTGTCTCGGGCCACCTCCCCTCCCTCTTCCAGTACTAAGCAGAAGGCAGTAGGTAACAGCAGTCTGCTATGAAATTAGAGTAACCATGGACAACCAAGAGATGCCTGCACCCCTCTTAGATCCCCAGAGCTGACGAGAGCCAGGTACATATCTAAAAGGGGTTAAATCTTGGTAGTGACGTCCTGTCCTGTTCTTCTTGGAGCAAGAAGAGACAGAGAAAGTTAAAAAAAAAAAAGAAAAATCAGGCAAGTGCTGGGTGGAATTTTCCAAAGCTCATAAACGGACCAGTTAGAGTTGCTAAGGGAGGTCACCAAGGAAACGGTCACATGTGCCTGCCTTCTGGTAATTCAGTCTAGCTCCAAACGATGACACAAGCTCCAAGCCTCTTCATTGGCTGTCATCTTCCTCTCGCCACTGAGCTCTGCTAGGAGATTGGCTTCCAGCAGTTGCTGTGCTGGAGTTAAGACTTCGCTCTTCCCCACCCTGCTGAAACCTGCTGAAAGCTGCTGTTTTTAGCCAAGAAGAGGCTGCCAAAGATGTTGCCATAGTAATTGCTTTCCCCTCCCAACCTCCTTGGAAGTTGGTAGCTGACTTCTCTGTAGCTTAGTACTTTTCCACAGGCCGAAGAGGGTATCGGGCGTTTAGTGTTTTGCAGAGATCTAACCTTCTGAAGGTGAACTCTCATTTTTCACAGTAGTCAAGCAATTGCAGAGCCTGGCCCATTAGCTTTAGTTTCCAACCCACTCATGGGGGATTTGGTGTCTTTCTGCCAGATCGGATATTCCTCCAGAATTCACTATCATCCAGGCTGGAGGGAGGGTCTGTTGGACCAAGTTTGCAACTTTGTAAACTATAAAGCTCTGTGCACTTGGTGTACTTGTCTTTACTTGACCAATATTAACCCAAGGAAGAATGGCCCTATGAAGTGGAGGGTGGGGACAGATGACTCAGTCCACAAAACCCAGAACCCCAGGACCACCAGGAAGCTCCTTTGGAGTCTGATTTCTGTCCTACTACTGACTGCCTCTGGCACCATCAGCAGTTCCTAAAGCCCCCAGGGACTCACTTTCTCCTGCTCAAAAGGATCTTTCTAGATTTCCCAGGAGCCTGTCCCAGTGCTGACATTACATTATCCTAAATTAGTAGATTTAATCCTCCCCTTAA